TGAAGTCGTCACCGTGCCGGTGGCGTTGGCCAGATCCAGAAGAATGGAGGGAAAAGCCGGGTGGAGGAGGTAAAGGTGGTGAAGGCTGGGTGGCTCAGTTCCTAGGATGCCATCCTGACAACGAGAAACAGTGAGAGCAAATGTCAGCCCGCCCTCCACGTACGATGTCGCTCAGGTGAAAGGGCGGCGGAGAGAGCTGTGATGACTCGTTCCCTCCGACGCGAAGGCCTGGCTACAAGGGTGTGTTTGAGAGAGGCTCGCATGGACGAGAGACATATTATTTCAAAAAGGCTCAAAACACTGACTAAGCACCAACTTCTTCAAACCCCTAGAGCTAGGCAATGCTTTCCCTCTTATAAGAAAAAAAGAAAGGAAGAAAGGAAAGGGGCTTGTCCCAGGAGAGAAACTGGATGGGGAGTCCTCCCAGTCTGGCGTCTACAAAAGCATCAGAAACTGGTTCTTCAAAATCTGGGCAGAAAACAGAGTGTGCCAAGGACATTTGCTTTCACTGGATATTAGAGCCAATTGCAAGTAGCAAGCCAAACATCACAAAAATCTTATCAGTTCCTGAAATAAACAGGATGTTGACCAGACAAAAGTCATTAATTATAAAACAAAAATTCCAAGGTCTGCGTGTCAGCCTCCCAACTCCCGACAGCAGAAGAAACACACATGGGAACTTCCTTTACCGTGCGACTCCTGTGCAGGGATGATGTTCGGCAGACACGCACGGCATTAAAGCTCAGGAGTTTCACACACAGGTGTGTAAGTGGCGGCTCCGCTCAGGACCATCCTAAGCTTCCTCTAGTGGACTGAGTATCAGCCCTGCTCCCGTACTGTCAGCATGGGAGGAGGTCCGCTGAGTGAGGGGACACGTGGGTGGGAAGCTGGCAGCCCCATTCCCACCACGTGGCCACAAAGCAGAAGAGAGTTTCCCATACACCTTAGGATCCCAGGCACGACCGGCAGATTTCCGGATCAGCCAGCATGACAAACAAAACAGCCAAATTCCTTCCTCACTGCCTACAGAATGGAGCCCAAACCCCCTAGCACAAAAGCCAAGGTCTTAAGCCATTTCACCCAAATCTTCCCTTCCCAGCCGCCTCCTATGATGATTTGCCTGAGCACCCCAGGCTTCAAGAACGTCTGTGGTTACCCATGCACATGCTTCGCTCAGCCCCATCTGACCTCTGCCAATCTGACTGCCCCTTAACCATCTGACCATCCCCCGGAGCCTATTGCCCCCTATTCAAACACTTCTCGTCCGGAGGTCCCCCACTTGATTTGATGCCACCTCTTTCGTGAAAAGCTCCCCAACTGCCCCCGACAAAATGAATACCCCCTCCTGCTGTGTTTCCACCTACACTTCTTATTAAATTTATCACTATCAGAGCATTTGTAACACACCTTCGCTTTGTGGTTATTTATAGCCACTTACACTTGAGAGTCACCTGGTCTGATCCTCTCAGTTTATTAAGTGAGGAAACCAGGATGTTAAATGTTGGGTAGCTCGCCCACGGTCACATGGCAGGGAACTGCAGAGTTAGGACAATCATTTGTGTCAATCTGACCCTAAAACGAAGGACTACATCAGCATCTTCATTAACAGAGAAAGAGCACGAGGCTCAGGAAAGTTAAGTGGCAGGTCCCAGAGCACGTGGTCGATGAAGTCAGGACTCTCCCTCGGGCTCCCCCATCATCTGGCACCGGCTGTCTGCTCCTCTAGAGGGCAGCACTGCTCCCAGCTTATCCTGAGGCCCCTGGCACCAGGGAGGTGCTGGTCAACATGTGCTTAACTGAACTAAATCAGGGTGGGTCTTACTCAAAGCTCCCAGGCACCTACCATAGGCAGCATCCTGATTCATCAACCCCGTTAAAACACCGCAGGACAGCACTGAAGACGGTCTCAGATCTGCCTTCTATGCACCAGACCCTCCCTCCATCATCCTCCAGGTGAACTCTCATCTTCAGCCCAGTGTCCCCAAAACCTCCACTGCTTTGCCACCCTGCCCCCACACCTATTCCTGAAATCTTAGTTTATTCGCCTCAAAGCCTAGCCTCAGCCTCCATGAAACTTCGCCCCCTGCTCCTCGCCCATCCCAGACCAGGCACAGTTATTTCTCTTCAACACCTGCCGCACAGATGAATCATCTTTAAAATTTGGACTTGGACATTCTATCCTTTATCTATGCCTCCCACTGTCGGGAGCCAGTAGCTGGGGGCTGCTGTCAGCTTTCACTGCTTGGCTAAAAGGCAAAGTTGGGGAATCACAGCTCAGGAGGAAGCATGGTCCTGCCCACGAGGGCCGTTTTGTCTCCACACAAAACCATTCAGAAGTGCGGCTGGTCTAAACCACCAGCCCAACCCCTGGGCCCAGGCAGCTCCGCAGGGCAGTGACAAAGGGACCCTCCCAGGCTCACTCACGGAACTGGGAGACGCAGCTGACAGCCCTTCAGCCCAGAAGAGGAAGACCGACTTCTGGTCCACAGTAGCGGCTGAGGTGGTCGGTGTTTCCTTCCCGTGGCACAGAACGCTGTAACTCCACGTGACCAGGCCGGAGTCCCCATCCACCACCATCACCTGCAAAGAGAAGACAGGGGTCTCCCACCCTCAGAAAGGCAGCGGGCTGAGAAAACACATGCACAAAAACAAAAAAGACCCCCGGACATTCACGTAACATGTATGTTAACCGGTGTTAACACTAACTTATTAGAAGTGAACAACTGGGTGTTCAGATAGCATTACGTAACAGCCGGGGTCCTGGAGTTTAAAGGACTGCAGAATTCTCCAGTGGGAAGGGACGCTGCAAACCATCTAGGCCCCCTCTCATCTTACAGATGAGGAACTGGAGGCTCAGGGACAGGAAGTGACTGTGATAGTTTCAGGTTTAGGACCGTCCTGGGCAGGGCAGCCACTCTCAGCCAAGGTCCTAAAAGCAGCACCTCACTCCTGCTCCCTCCCCCAGGCGACACACCACTCAGGGACCCAAGCAGGTGACAGCCCTGTCCTGTCCCCTGTGCTAAAAGCATTCCATGTTTGACTCTGTCACATGTCACGGCATGTGGACCTCGGCTCCACGGTAGCCTCGAAGTTAAAAGAATGTAAAAACCTC